TATAACCACTACCACTCACATTCTTATTTATAACCACTACCACTCACATTCTTATTTATAACCACTACCATTCACATTCTTATTTATAACCACTACCACTCACATTCTAATTTATAACCACTACCATTCACATTCTTATTTATAACCACTACCACTCACATTCTTATTTATAACCACTACCACTCACATTCTTATTTATAACCACTACCACTCACATTCTTATTTATAACCACTACCATTCACATTCTTATTTATAACCACTACCATTCACATTCTTATTTATAACCACTACCACTCACATTCTTATTTATAACCACTACCACTCACATTCTTATTTATAACCACTACCATCACATTCTTATTTATAACCACTACCATTCACATTCTTATTTATAACCACTACCACTCACATTCTTATTTATAACCACTACCATTCACATTCTTATTTATAACCACTACCACTCACATTCTTATTTATAACCACTACCACTCACATTCTTATTTATAACCACTACCATTCACATTCTTATTTATAACCACTACCACTCACATTCTTATTTATAACCACTACTAATTTCATCTGTTACCTCAAAAAGATTGTCATGACATCTCACCTTGCTGGTAGAGGTGGTGGAACAGGTTCCCCAGTCGTCACAGACCTCCTGACAGCATTGATGTCAACTTCAACCTTGTGACCTAGATGACCTGGTGGTTTTGACCTTTGCACTTCATCTGACCTGCTTGCAGGGTCCTCGTCTTGGGCAGCATCAACAGGAAGTGTTTCCTTGGTAGCCTGTTCAACAGTTTGATTAGCATTTTGTATAGGATACTGAAATTGCGGGGGTGGGGTTTGATCCTGAAGTAAAATTTGGCCTTTTTTAGCTTTAAGATTATTACGAGGTATAACACCCCTTAAAGCAGGTGGCGGTTGTTCATCTTGAAGCAAAATTTGCATTCCTTTTGGGTGTGTTTCTGGGGAAACAACAAGAGGGGAAACTGGAGTCCCATGCTCAACCTCAGGATTCCATTCATTGTATATTTCCATGTCGCAGTAAGGCGCTGGGGGAAGAGGTTTGCCTCGTTTTGTTTGCTTCGTAACCTTAGCAACAGATACAAAACATAAAGTAGGTTAGTACAAAAAAATTAACATGAAATATAAAAATAAATGAGAGTAGTACATATAAAAGTAAATAAAAATAATAGTTATGTTATTCTAAATTTTATAGCCTGTGACCGTAGTTTGGATGCCTCATAATGAAAGATATCGAAACTCAGCCACCCAGTCTTCTGTCTGTTTCAACTTAAAATGTAAAAAGAGAAATTTTGGTCACAAATTGACAATGCCTTTATGGTAGGAAAACAATCTGTTCAGATCTTATTGAGTTCAATTTAGACAGGTGTCTAGATTACGTAGGGTTCAGTTTAGACAGGGTTCAGATTTTGCAGGGATCAGATTACACAGGGTTCAGTTTAGACAGGGTTCAGATTACATAGGGTTCAGTTTAGACAGTTGTCCAGATTACATAGGGTTCAGTTTAGACAGGTGTCTAGATTACGTAGGGTTCAGTTTAGACAGGTGTCCAGATTTTGCAGGGATCGGATTACACAGGGTTTAGATTAGACATGTGTCCAGGTTACATAGGGTTCAGTTTAGACATGTGTCCAAATTATATAAGGTTCACTTTAGACAGGTGTCCAGATTATGTAGGGTTCAGGTTTAAACAAGTGTCTAGATGACGTAGGGTTCAGGTTTAGAAAGGTGTCCAGATTACATAGGGTTCAGTTTAGACAGGTGTCCAGATTACATAGGGTTCAGTTTAGACAGTTGTCCAGATTACATAGGGTTCAGGTTTAGACAGGTGTCCAGATTATGTAGGGTTCAGGTTTAGACAGGTGTCTAGATTATGTACGGTTCAGTTTAGACAGTTGTCCAGATTACATAGGGTTCAGGTTTAGACAAGTGTCCAGATCAGGAAGGGTTCAGTTTAGACAGGTGTCCAGATTACATAGGGTTCAGTTTAGACAGTTGTCCAGATTACATAGGGTTCAGGTTTAGACAGGTGTCCAGATTACGTAGGGTTCAAGTTTAGACAGGTGTCCAGATGACGTAGGGTTCAGTTTAGACAGGTGTCCAGATGACGTAGGGTTCAGTTTAGACAGGTGTCCAGATTATGTTGGGTGCAGGTTTAGACAGGTGTCCAGATTACGTAGGGTTCAGGTTTAGACAAGTGTCTAGATCAGGTAGGGTTCAAGTTTAGACAGTTGTCCAGATGACGTAGGGTTCAGGTTTAGACAAGTGTCTAGATCAGGTAGGGTTCAAGTTTAGACAGGTTTCCAGATGACGTAGGGTTCAGGTTTAGACAGGTGTCCAGATTACATAGGGTTCAGTATAGACATGTGTCCAGATTACATAGGATTCAGGTTTAGACAGGTGTCCAGATTATGTAGGGTTCAGGTTTAGACAGGTGTCCAGATTATGTACGGTTCAGTTTAGACAGTTGTCCAGATTACATAGGGTTCAGTTTAGACAGGTGTCCAGATTATGTTGGGTGCAGGTTTAGATAGGTGTCCAGATTACGTAGGGTTCAGGTTTAGACAGGTGTCCAGATTTTGCAGGGATCAGATTACACAGGGTTCAGTTTAGACAAGGTTCAGATTACATAGAGTTCAGTTTAGACAGTTGTCCAGATTACATAGGGTTCAGTTTAGACAGGTGTCTAGATTACGTAGGGTTCAGTTCAGACAGGTGTCCAGATTACACAAGGTTCAGTTTAGACAGGTGTCCAGATTATG